CCCAAATACCCCCCACCCCACTGTCTCCTGGGCATCCCCACTGTCCCCTGGGTGTCCCCAAGCCCCTCCCAGTGCCACCCACTGTCACCCACCATGGCACGTGGACGTCGGTGCCCTCCAGGACGCAGCCTCGCTCTTCGGGGTTGAACATGGTGGGCACAACAGCCAGCGAAGCGCTGGCATGGACAATGGGGCGACCCCTGGGGACAGCGTGTCAGGAACGGGGTGGGCACCCAGGGTACACCCCCCACCCACCCCGGTTGGGTGATGGCACCCACCTGTACACCACGGCCGTGTCCACCCCGAAGGCGCCCACCAGGAGGTCTGTGGGGAGAGGGTGAGGTGTGGGTGGTGGCAATGGGTTGTGGGGCACCCATGGGTGGCGCTGCTGTGGGGTGGTGGGTGTCCTCAGCCATGGGGTGGCACTGCCATGGGGTGGGTGGGGTGGGTGTCCATGGCCGTGGGGTGGCTATGGGGTGGCTATAGGGTGGTGGAGTGGGTGTCCATGGCCATGGGGTGGCACTGCTGTGGGGTGGGTGTCCCTATGTCCCTATCCATGGGGTGGCAATGCTGTGGGGTGGGTGCCCATGGCTATGGGGTGGTGGAGTGAATGTCCATGGCCATGGGGTGGCACTGCCATGGGGTGGCACTGCCATGGGGTGGGTGTCCCTATCCATGGGGTGGCACTGCTGTGGGGTGGATGCCCCTGGCCATGGGGTGGCACAGATGGGGACAGGTGTCCCACGTTCCAGATGGGACAACTGGGATGGGACATCCCCATCCATGGACACCTGTGGGGTGGCACGGATGGGGCTGGGTGCCCCCTAAGACCTATAGGGCTCCTGGAGCTGGTTGTCCCCACTCATAGGGTGACACCACGGGTGCCATCGCTTTACCCCACATCTCCTCACCTGGGTATCCGTTGCCATCCAGGTCGGTGTCCCCACGTAGGGCGGCCCCAAAGAAGTCAGGGTTCCGGCCGGGTGCCCACTGCCCCCTCAGCACCTGGGCAGGGTGGGGGTGCAGCCCAGCCCCCCTCCCACTGTAGATGTACACCAAACCCCGGCGATCCTCGGCCCCCAGCGGAGCCCCCACTGCCACATCTGGACCCCCCC